AACACAACGCCTCCAGCTCTGGTTGTTGAAACCATAGCAACTCTCACTAAAAGACATATATTCACATGCAGCTTTTAAAATGATCAGTATTAGAAGCATGTTCTGCTCTTAGAGAGAAAACCTAAAAACATTGCAATTTAAATCAGGCTGTGAGGAGGCGGGTCTGTGACAACAATACTTTTGATGAATGATGACTGGGAGTCTTTGGACTGGCACATCTAGGACCTCAATCATGTAAATACAAGATTATTCTGTTTGTCAACTGAAATTATTTGCCAACAAGTGAGAGTTCAACTGTCCCTTTGGCCAAAACGTGCCACACATTGCTGATGGATTCATGGAGGACGGAGCTATGACAAAGTCATTTGATTCTCAAGCCAAAAAAACATCAAATGACGAAACAGGATGATCATGACAGTATTTTTCATTATAATATTCATCCACTTCTGCTGATGGATCTTTGCTCTAATTAGCAAACAAGCTCTGCTGAAAATGTGGTTTTATTATTTATGCCACGCTGTCAGCTGTGCCAGACCGGTCGGTGCTGATGTTGTCACAGCTCTGTGGTTGCCAATAGAGGTCGATGGATGACACTGCTGCAGAGGGATCAGACAGGGCCCTGTAGGGGAAATCCCAGCCGCCACAAGGAGCAAGTTGTTAAAGGCAGTGATCCTACGGCAATCCATCGCCCATTCATTCCTGTGTAACCTGTGTTTTTTTTTCCTGCCCTCTAACAACCTTCACTGTGGAGTCTCGGTGGTAATAAAGATGGGTTTGGTACTTTTTATCTTTATTAGGGAGTTTCAAAGCGCCACGGCACTGGATGCCTCTGCTGCGCTAATGCCGCCATCACTCATGCCGTAGCAGAGAAGCCCACAGTGTTGAGCCTGAGGGACTTCTGTCAAAAGGAGGCCCTAAGCAGAAAAAACATAATAAGAGCAATATTTTACAGCCGTTTATAATGGGAGTGTTTGTGGTTGTGCTTTTACACACAGTAACGTAGGAATCACAACACTTATAGGTCTAAATATTTTAATTCAAATGTTTTGTTTGGGAGTCAAGTTTAATACCTGATCTACTTCCAAATGATCAGTCATACTGTGGTTTATTTCAGCTCCTCTTAGATTTAAAATAGCAACAATAGCAGTAGAAAGAATCTGGACATGATGTGTACATTTCACATATTTTATTTATCATTGTTATTTTTGTTCCACTTTTGTTGAGTCAGTTTGTCTGTCAGTCACATAGGCAGCTGTCAAATCACAAGACTGTCTTTGAGGGGAGAGTTTGAGTGGTATGCATGGTGTATATGTGTGCATGTGTGTGTGTGTGTGTGTTTGTGAGGCTACCAAAGAGTGAAAATGTTTTTTCGCACAACTGAGCAACTTTCCTTTTTTAACCTCCAAAGTGGATCCTCGGTGGACAACGCCAGTGTCTTTATTATAGGTACCATGGTGATGTTTTATTACTCAGGAAACCACAATATGACTAGGTGCACTGCTTATAAATCTTATACATTTAATTGTTGTTGACTTTTCGTTGATTTCCCTGGTGTGGGAGGCAGAGCTGTTGAAGGAATCAGGGGAAATAAATCAAAGAAACAATGAAACAACGAGGTAACATCTCAAAAGAAAGCACTATATTACTGTTACATCATACGGTCTGCATGAACATGTGTTAGCTACAAGACAACCTCACCTTAGCTCTAAATCTGTGGCTACAAGTTATATAAATTAATTACTAAATGACTTTAAATATAGCAGACATTTTGTCAAAAGGAAGTAAAAGTGCAGCTATGAAGGTCAAGCTGCTGGTTTTATGCTTCAGATGATTTCCTCATGTTAAATAAACCAAAGCTGCTCTGAGGTCTCTTATCATGCATGAGAACATAACTCATAAAATGTAATATATCACATCGGATGTTTCCGGCTCTGGTAGTGTCATACAACACTGCTGAAAGGAATTTACTGTAATAGAAAGCTATTTTACTGTGAAAAACCTTGTGAATACTAGAAATACTAACACACACACACACACACACACACACACACACACACAAAGATAAACATACTGACAGGACAGGACCATGCAATGAATACTTTTGCTGACGGATATAAGTTTTTACCTCCTACTGCTTTTATACGAAATGCAGAGCAATCAAATTTTTTTCTTTCTCATTAGGCATCCTGTATATGTTCAAGTTTCAAGTGAGTAATGAATTGGAAAGATGAAAGGAGAGAATATATTATCATACAAAATCATTTTCTTGGAGGTGATTTCAAAACTCTTTGTGGCGACACTCGAGCTACTGAGTGTCCTCTTGTCGGCGCAGTGGTGTTAGACTGCTTTTACAGCACTCAGAGGACTTTCTGACCACAACCACCACCACTTTCACTCATTTTTTCCCCCCTCCCTCTTCTGAGGGCTTACTGGGACACGTAACAAAAGCTGTAAAGCATTAGTATTCAAATGAATTTTACAGGTGACATACAGTGCACAAAAGGTGGAGTAACAAAGAAATCCTATTTTGGAGCACAGGATCAGGACAACTTTCTTTTTTTTTTTAAACTCAAACTGTGACAACCGTCTTTGAATGCCTTCATACTTCACTGACTCTATTTGCAGCTGACGTTAATCATTTGAATTTAACGGCCTGGAACTCATTATTTTGACGAGCTTAAAGGTACTACATGTTGGACCCTTAAATTCATATAAGAGTAGATGTGATTCCAGTAGGTGTTAAAGAAAGAAAAAAGAAAGAAAGAAAGAAAGAAAGAAAGAAAGAAAGAAAGAAAGAAAGAAAGAAAGACTATTTTGTCTATTGAGCTCATTTTGTCCAATTTAAGATCTCTGGCTCGATCATCCTTGAAGAAATCCCTTCCAGTGGATGGTAGGCTGATAAGTACAAAAGCAATAGAGAGTGCAATAATGAAATATGCTCATGGCATAGGAAAGAGCTGAAGGCATTTAGTCAACTTTGAAAACATTAGCATAACTGATTTGCTTGTAATTATTTCAAAAGAAATCTTTGGTCAAAGGAATTGTTCAACGTTTTGGGAAATTAACTTTCTTGCTGAGAGTTATATGAAAAGCTCAATACCACTCTTGTATCTGTAGGCGACATTTAATATGAAGCTACAGCCAGCAGCCGGTTAGCTTAGCTTAGCACAAAGACGCAATGCATCAATCTAACGGGGGAAAGCAAATAAGATTATTTCCCTAAATGTTGGATTATTGCTTTAAATGACTTGGAAATCAGACCATAAGGTAAAAAAGAAAGCATGTATTTGAGGTATTGACAATAAAACTCATATCATCACTGCTTTAAATATGCCTACCTTTCAAATTGCCAGCATAACCTTTGGCAAAGATGAACAGAGCGTTGCACACGTTACCCCAGAAAAGATCCCCAGTGAGAGATGCAAATCAAAATTTCATGCCTGCTAGTGAGGGCTGAGCGAATTACCCCACACAGAGAGTTTACAGGAAGCACAGAGAAAACATACAGCACTGGATGTTTCCAGGCACGATTTCACCGAACACGTTTCCTTCATCTGCTTCAAGTGCCGATTAGCTCAAAAAGGCATTTTTCATTTCTTGGAACATCTACGCTGTCGCCCCCCCCCCCCCCTCTTCAAGATTTTTCCTGTGGAGTTTGCTCCTATTTGTGCATTGTTGTTCCAAGTCAATACTGTGTATAACCATAATTTTTCATCCAAACAACTGTCCTCAATAATGATCTGCAGGATGCAGACCACAGCTCGCTAATCAGCATTCTCTTCTACGCTACACAACACCAAAAGATTTCAAAACATGGCAAATTGCCTTTCATCAGTCACAATATGACAAATCAAACAGTAATTACAATATCTGACAAAATTAGATCAACAAATCATTTGTCGTGTTCATATTACATTTTTCGGACGGCCTCGCAGATTTTCCTATCGGCCCTGAGAAGAAATTCATCATATATGAGAGTGCTGGAAACTAAATATATGGATATAAATCCGGTTGGCAGCATGCCTCCATGCCTGCCTGGAGGATGAAGAAAGCCTGAGTCATGTTGAGAAAGTGAGTTGTGGGAGATCATAAATCCATATCAGAACAACCTTTGACCAGACAGAAACTTTATACATACTACAGACGGGATGCGTGGACATGTTCATGGCTGATAACAAGAAGGAAGCAAACGTCTGTTTACTTCACCAGAGGCCTAAGAAAATGACTAACAGCTGTGGGATAAATATGTGGTGGGCGAAAGAGTGTACTAAGCAGTGGATTATTGTTTTCAACAAGTCTCACACAGGGAAAAAACACCTTTTTGAAAGCTCTTAGGTGCGAACACCAGCACCGTCTAATCCTGCCTGGCTTAACACATCCACATATGTCCCCTGGTGCAGGTTAGTTTTCTCTCCTCACTGCAAGCGGGAAAAAAAGAAAGGAAAAAGAGGCAGAGAGAAAAGGAAGGAGGGGATGGGACAAGACAGAGCAAGGTGGGTGATATCTTCTTAATAGCATATCTACCTTGACCCGTAACACCCACCATCCCTCAGTAGCATGCTTCTATTCTCTCTTTCCTTTCACTGCACATGAGCAATATTTCCAAACTGACAGAGAATTCATGGTGATAAAAAAGCAGAGATTTCTAATCTGTTTTCGGTCTCAGGGACTGGAGTGTCTTTTTGTCCAATGGACGAGCAAAGAATGACATCGCCCACTTGGGCTCCACTTGCACTAAAAGCAGACATGTGGCCCCCTACCCTCAGTTTGAAGAGTGTAACACAGATGCAATCGATACTGTTGTCGATACCGGAGTGCCAGGAGAGGATAGAAGTGAAGAGAGCCAGAAAACAAGACACGTAATGGAAAACATGTCAGCTCCCCTCGCGTGCAGCAGCAAATCCAATGAAATGTATTAACATCTAGAGCACAATGCATGGACAGAGAGCGATTTCTCCTTCTCTATGTGATGCAGCAGTCATCGATTTTCTCATCACACACACAATTTTTCATCAATTGTCAGTGTTTCTTTTAATTATACAGTCATTATCACACAGAATGCCTAGTACCCATATTATGTCTTTACACAAACAATGCATAATCATAATGATAGGAATAATCAATACAAAATTTGTTATGAAAATCAACATTATCACTTCAGCTGGACCTGGACAGGTTTGTACAACTTGGAAAATATCAGTCCTGAGATAAGACTTTTGAGATAAGAGTTTTAGATAATCTGTTTGTGTGGTTTGAACCACACTGAACCATAATGCATATTTTTCTGTCAATTAGAACTGATCGTTTTACAGGCGAGAGAAGCACCTTAAGTAAGGAGAATGAATTCATGCAAAAGACCTCAGGACAAGATCCTCTCTCGATAATTGTTCCTCCATTTTTTTGTGGTAGTGCTACTTCTAATCACCGCACTACAGCAGTATGTCAAATGCAAATCAGGTTAACTGGACAAATAGTGTCTGTAACTCTGTAACTCTTCCAACCAGAAGTCAGTAAATTATCAGATCATCGCCATAACGCACTCAAACACACATACGCTCAAAGATGCACACATACAATATACCCTAAATGCTTTACAAGCTACATAATAAAAAAAAACAGAACTAGCAAGTAAAAAGTGGCTTTGTTGGTTCGTATTAGATGGCGATCTAGGTTGACTAAGAATATGGTCAGTCTCTGCAGAGCTGACTCCTACTACTGTAGCAGAGGTCCCGTTGTTACGTGAAATCGTACACAGCTAACCTGGCTGACCCCGCCACTGTTCCCGTGTCAGTCAGGGTGATAATTAGCTCTCTCCAAATATATCTCTCCGTTCCTGTCTTCTTTTCGGTGCACATAATTATATTGTACTATGCCCCCAAGTATTTTCTTCAGTGCTGCAGAATCTATCATCTCACATTAGAGATAAAGCCACTTAATCCCGTGGAAAAACCATTTACCTCTGCTTAGCAATTGCACTTTTAGTCTCTTTAAGGTGGAGTGGGCAGCTCAGACCTCACATTCTATGGATCCTGATATGGTGCACGTGCACGGCCTCGTCTCATTCACCAAGGAGTCCATAGTCTCTGAGTTTGAGTGGTAGCTCAGATAGTACTCTTGCAACTGAGAGTTAAGATCCTGCTCCTGCTTGCGGGCCTTTTTCCTGCGCTTATGGTTGACTGAGTGCTGCTGCAGCTGCCTCATGGTGTTGGGGTAGTGCCTCCACGAGACATAAATAACCAGAAGGATCAATGACACTGACAGGAACAGGGCTACGCTGCCTGCAATGATTTTATGGAAAGCCATATGTTCAAACTGTGGCTCAGGGATAAACGATGTTGGGGGTTCAGGGGAGATGAGTGTTGTAGAGCTCATGGTTGTGGACTCTGTTGTTTTTCTGTCTGTCCAAATAGGATGAACAGATGAGGGGGTTAATCCCTGCGCAGGGGACTCGCTATGAGTCAGGTCTGTAAAACCAGAGGGAGAGGGGTGAGGTGAGACATTCACAACTTGGGCTGGTGTCAGAAGGATGAAAGCCGTGGTCGTGAACACATTCGACATTGCCACACACGTCGAGTGGTTTCTCACTACGTCCACAACTCGTTCTCCCTGCACAGACTTGGGACTGCTGCATATCATGCTAATGTCTTTGGAGTCTCTGAAGGTTTTGAGCCAGGCCATGAGAGGGCAGATGCTGGGGCTGCAGTCCCAAGCGTTGCCAGCCAGGCTGATGGTGGTCAGGGAGGTCCACGCTGCCACGGCCTCCACAGGCACACTGCTCAGCTTGTTTGATTCAAGGTTGAGCATTTGTAAGTTTGGCATACACTGGAAAACAGCCGGGTCCAACATTTGGATTTCATTCCCTGACAAATCCAATTTCTGCAGTTTGTGCCAAGTCCAAGGCACACCTTGACTGATGGATCGTATGCGGTTCCACTGCAAATAAAGAGCTTGGAGGTCGGTTAGGCGTGGAAAAATGAAGAAGTTAATCCTGGAAAATTGATTGTGCTCTAAATGAAGCTCTTTCAACTTGAATAGGCCTAAGAACGTTGTACGGGTGAGGCTCCGCAAGCGATTATAACCCAAGTCCAGAAACTCCAGGCTGCGGCATTCCAGAAAGGTGCGAATGAGGATCTGTTTCAGTCCATTAGATCGAAGGTGGAGATTTTGTAGCTTGCGAAGACCATAAAAATGTCCCGGTTGCAGATACTGCAGCTGATTGTAGGATAAGTCCAGGTTTCGTAGGTTTGGTATGGCGCTGAAGGTGTTATTGTGCAGATGGTTTATCTTGTTGGAGCTGAGGATCAGTTCCTTCAGCCTGCGCACACCATGGAAGGCTAAAGCATCTATTGCATTGATGGAGTTGTGGTCCAAGTAAAGCCAAATGAGTTGATTGAGATGAGCGAACTGGTACGGCAACAGAACCAACAAGTTGTTATAACGCATAGACAGACCCTGGCATCCCGTGGTGATGTTTTCTGGGATGTCTTGGAAGATGCCAGACTCGCAATAAACAATCTTCCCTTCGCAGCGGCAACTCGCAGGGCACATCCGCTCCCCCTTGCTGAGCAGCAGCAAAGCAGCTGCCTGCAGAAGAAGACATGATACCCTCCAGTCCAACATCACCGAACCTGTTGGGGGTAGAGTGGGGCACAGGCAATCAAAGGGATGACTTGGTTTTAGAAAATGTGTGCTCAGAGACCTTTTAAATAAGTAAAGGTGAGAAATGTCGTCTTCAAACAGGAGATCATGTAGTGAGGAGCAGTGATGTCTGAGACACCAGACCTGCTTCATGAAGAATTGATGACAAGAGTCTGACGTTTGCCACTTTAAAGGTATGTAACCTATATGAGAACATATTCAGTCACAGGGAAACGTGGAGGAAAACGGGAATATCATTCAAGTCAATCATTAAATAAAAGAGCAGATTCTTTACATGTCAGAAATTCAGTTTAGGAACTAATGAATATGTCAGTGTGGAAACTGATTATAGCTGTCGCCTTTGCTGCGAGGAGCATTAAGACGGAGAAACTGTGTCACTAAATAGTGAAGAACATAACGACTTACCCATCGTTACTGAGGGAAGGAGTAATCCTCTGAAACAAATGGATAAAGAGCACATTAAACTGCCCTCAGATGAGGAGAATCGCAGTTCATGCAGCCCCAGAGTCGGTCCGCATACTGAGCATCACTTATGTCTTCAATTTGAGGAGAAAATCAAATAAAGGCAAGTTTTTTTTCCGCAGCGGTCCGACACCCCCTGATCTCCGTCTGACGCTCAGAAATAGGACGCCTTCACACTTGGGTCGTAGTTGGAGCCGCCGCTGTAGTTCAGCCCGCTGTGTGCGCAATAACCCATTTGAGCGCCAAACGCCTGATGCACACAATCCTCTGGTCAATGCAGTCTGTCTGTCTCTCTCTCTCTCTCTCTCCCTCCTCTCTTCCTCTATGTGCTCCTACACCCCCCAATCTCCCCACCCCTCCTCCCCCTTTTCTCCTCTCTCAGAGGCGTAGGCGTCTTTAAGCACACATAAGAGCTTATAAATATACTTTGTATACCAACCATGTAAATTCGCCCGTTATCTGATCAATTAATTCAACATTTTCTCAATTTTAATTCTCGTTTTCTACAGCCCTCTATGAATTCTAAAAGTTGGTGGTTTTACATATGTGTGTGTGTGTGTGTGTGTGTGTGTGTCTGTCTCTCTCCCTCTCTCTCTCTCTCTGTATGTGTGTGCGTGCACAGTAACACAGTTACTAACAATTGCATTTTGTTATTTTATTTTGTAAGATTTCAGTTTATTTGCTTATAATCCAAATCCAAGCATGACCCCAGGGGCTACAGCAAAAGATGGCATCAAACACTGTGTAATAATACACACTGTTGACCATGATGAATATTTCCCTTATCTAAACAAGAGGGTGGCATGATCCAAATCCGCTCATTAATGAATTAATTCATTAACACTTTCAGTCATTTGTTCAGAAACAACAGGAAGATGGTTAATCAGGATTTTCGGTCCCTGTCTCAGTAGTTTGTTTAAAGGATAATTATGGAACAGCTTGAAGGTGATGTTGACATACAGCATCCGTCCACGCTCTCGAGCAGCAGGGGGAGTTAATGTAGATAAACAGTTAACACCTCTCAGTGTCTGGAGATGCTGCTGAAGAGGTGGCAAACAATAGGATTATTGGTATTCAAATGAAGGGCGCTTATGAAGTTGGCAGTCAACAGACGGGGGGGGGGGGGGGGGGGGGGGGGGGGGGGCATGCTTAAAGCAGGAGGAGATAGGGATACCTGTAATTCTGTGGCCATTTCATACTCATTTTTCATCCTTCATTCTGCTTTGAACAGACATTCATCACTTTGAACACAACAGCGTGGAAATCAGCATATCTGCACTGGAGAGTCTGAATTGTAATGTGTGGTAACAGCAACCTCTTGTGCACGCAGAGAGAAATGCCCTGCTTTACGAGCTGCTGACATTGATCAAGACTTCACTGAAGATAAGAGAGAAATCAGCCTCCAGATTACCTGTGGTCACGACGAGATGAGCTAATGAATTCATGTCAATATTTAGCTACGAATGTGGTAATATCGTAGGTCAAACAAGATTTCCTCTGATGCCTGCGGATTGCATTAAGGAGAAATGTATTCATGAAAATCTGCTCCATGAGCACCACAGCAGGGGTGAATCTGAGAGGTGTGAAAATGAGCCATTCTGTTAAGATAATACCTCTCAGATTTATAGTAGCACATTTTGCAATTGAGTGTCAAACTAAATCTGCTCCTTAGAGGATGTGCTGCCTCACACGTGTCTTGGGAGATCACGTTATTCAAGAAATGTGCATCTAAAGGATGGGAAAAACGTGCTGCTTGACAATGATGCTGTCAGGAGAGGCCACTCTGCAACGTTTAGGCAGAAGAGCACTGTGTGGTGGTTTCTGCACAGAGAAAGAAGCCTGTAGCGCTTGGTGAAGGAGGCGGTGCTGCACTGACTGCCAGTGATCATGTGTCACCTCCTCAATCAGTTTATCAGCTGGATCTTATCTTGTATATGAAAATATAGAAAACGACTATGTATGCACACCAGCCGCTTCTTGAAAGTGACAATTGACAATGTGATCAATCTCCGACAGGTGACAGCTACTATCTTCTGCCAATGACACAAGGAATATCGAGCTGTGAAAGTGGATAATACATCACGACTTGATAGGCGGCACAAATAACCTGTTCCATTAAGAGAAATCAAAATACGACCTTTAGTTAAGTTACAGCTGGAGCTTACGGACAGCTGGATTTTGAATGTATGCATGTAAAGTGGCTGGTTTAAGGCCTGCCATGCTGCAAATACAGTATGCACTACACACTGTACTGCTATCAATATTTCCACACAGATGGAGTAGAGATGGACTGATAGATTTATTCATCTTCCACTGACCTTTTACTCTCCTCACTGAGCCGCTATTCTCCACAAAGTGTCTGTCAGATCAGAAGGTGCAGGCATGTCACCCAACTAAAACCACTGCGGTAAGCAAACAGCAGATTATCATCCATGCTTATCTTTTCAAAAATGCCTTTCAAGATATTTGAAATATCTAAGATGGAAGGTAATCTCTCGATAGAAGTCGGTGGCCTTTGTCTTGAGAGACGTGGGTGGCAACAGAGTAATCCACAAAAACCTTCTCCGTGTTATGTGTAAATGTGTTTTAATGTTGTTTTAATATTGTGCTACTATAAGACAAGGTACACATTGTAAGACTGCCAGTGTGTGTGTCTGTGTGTGGGGGCTTTTCAGAGCATTACGTCGCTCATGCAAATACATGACTTTCACTCACTCAATCTTAGGTGCTTCATTAAAATTTTATTTTGCACATAAAGAACAAACAGCATGGGAACAAGCAGCCGGCACTCTGAACATAATCAACAGTAAAATGAAAGAGTATAACAGAAGAATAAACAGCCAGGAAGCTTAAAAAAAAAGTCATTACATGGTTGTTTATTAGATGTGTCAGTGCACATAAATTATAATAATAAAAAAAAAGAACAAACATGTGGTTGCTAATCACAAATTCAAGAAGGAAGTTTTTTATTATATGATATTTACACATAAGGATATTTGTGTTACACTGATGGATCTGCCGTTTGGAAGATTATTAATGTAAATTCAAATCTGTAACGATTCAAAGCAGGGTGGAGTTTGTTTTTGAACCACCAACTTAGTTAGAATTGATAACCCCACCGCTTTATCCAGATAAAGTTTTTTCTTTGTTAACTAAAAGGAATTTTGTACCAGGAACCATAGCAATTGAATATTTTAATAAAAAGAGGTCAATGTAGAATGGCCTGGCAAATAAATGCACCACTGAAGCTATAAATCTAACATGATGTGAACTTGATTACTTTGAAATAATGTGAGAAATACATTCATTGAAGCTTTGATGATTTTCTGATGCAGTATCAGTGAAAGGTTGAATAAAGTTTGGTTTAACCGTGCAGTGTGTTATTTTTCAGATTTGCACAGGCAGTAAATTCATGCCCTGCTTTACATGAAGATGTACTTAAGTGTGTGTTTTGGGACATACCTGTAAGCCTCTCCTGCCCACGTAACACAGAAGATATGACCGCCAGGACGGAATCATGTCTCTTCATTGGCTGAATTTACTTTCTCACATTTCTCATTTAAACCCAAAAGTTACAGGAAATGCTGTAAGTCATTTTTGCAATGTTTTTAATTGATCCTAAATAAATGTTATATTACCTGTTGTGTTTCTTCCTGTTGGAGTAGAAGCAGACTGTGTACAGTGCCATGCTATCATGATACATTATGTATGAGGAAATGTACAAATGAAAAATAAAACAAACAGAGTTGCAAACAAAGAACATTTACATCTGCGATGCAGGAAACTGCTCATTTTGCAGGAACCTATCAGGTATTATGGTTGTTTGACTCTGGATTTAAATATAGAACCCATCCCATTATCATCATTTCTATAATGCATTACCAACGGATCCTAGACTTCCCGGCAGAAGTGTTTTTCTTTATGCATGAAAGTGGTATTTGAGAAGGTAGACTAACAATATAAAGACTTGGTCTCTTCGTCATTTTCTGTTGAATGTTGCTGGAGAAAGGACTCTGAGGAGAACTGGTTCAACCTTTGGAAGAATGGTGTTTTAATGGTGGTTTAATGGTGATTTCAACCACCTCTCTCTCATTAACATCTTGAATGTTGTAACACCTCGGCTGCTGGTGTTTCTGAATATGAATCAGTCTTAAGAGACAAGATGTTTGTAACACATCCAAAGAAAATAGTCGCCTAAAATAAAACAGAATAAGAATCATCATTTCAATCATTATTTCAAGACTCTGCTCAGTGCTTTGACTTTAGTCCAGCTGTAGTTTCTAAGAGAAGAAGTTTTATTTAAATATGAATTTTGTGGGTAAATTTTAAGGAAATAACTTCAACTTCATATAATCAAAGTCAATATATGAACCTTTCTATAACAAAAGACAAAGAAAAGTGTATGCAACACTTTCTTTTTTTCTTTTTGGAGTCGTAGTAGCGATAGGGGCTAAAGTGCCAGATGTTTTGGAACAAGCCTTTTTATATACAGTCTATGGGACCAGCCCTCTGTATTTACCTGCTGCTTTGAAATTTTGTATGAGTAATTCGCAGGGTAATAAAAGTTACACATTTAGAAATCAGGGTCAGAGTTAATACAACCTGCTTCACCACTCTTTTAAGTCTCTCTTTGTCCTAATTATTTTACTATTTATGCATTTCTACACCCTGTTTCTGTGGGATTCATTATGCTGCAAAAAAGCAGGTCCTTCCCTTGCTCTATTATTCAGGGCTCAGTCAGTCACAGACAGTCATTAAAGTTTCATAGGAAGCAATTTGGTGCCTGAGTTATTTGCAAAGTGAGGTGAGTGCATATGGTGGTACTATACCTTTGTTGTTTATGGCCTGGTTTTCTCTGCTTTTCATGCCATTCTGTTCTCTTACGGGGTTAATTTTTACTCGATGACACCTGAGGGAGCATTATCAAGCACTACCGACAATCATTAAAGAGTCAGCACATCACAAAATCTAAAACACAAGTCCTTTTATTTGACAAATGTTTCAACAAGCTGTCACATCTCAGTTGTTAGTCTGAAAAAAAAGCCAGAAAACATTCACGTTGGTAGAGTCAAAAGAAGTTGAGGTAGTGATATTCTTTCCAGTGTTGAAAGTTGACTATAAATATACTGTGAAACTCAATTATTGATCCATGGCAGTTCTGCATTGCTCGCATATGCCAGTTATACCAAATACCCAAAAAAAGCTGAATGAAATGTGAAAGTGGGTCATGTCAGATTTGTTCGACAATATAAACAGACCATAGGGAATTTACAAGAACTCAGCATGGGATGATTGCACAGTAGCTACGTGCAGTGATTTTTAACAAAGGGATTACAACAGGAGATAACACGTTTTGTTCATAGACAAATCTGTTTATTTATTTATTTCCATATATCATCAGAGATTTAACAAGATGCAAACCAAAATGACCAGTAATTTGTTTGTGGATAAGGAGAAAAAAGACCAAGGGGAGAAAACTCATGACAGCCAGCACTAGAATTGTACAGTATATTTTGAAATTATAACCAGTTTTCAACCATGAATATATGAACATAATTGTGTATAGTGGGAACTTAATGGAGGACATTACCATTACCATATACTCATTTATGCACTATAGAGTTCACACTTCTTTTAGTTCATTTGACATCCCAGGATCATCTGAAATTATTCACTCTTAAATGAAAACATGATTCTTGATCTCTCGAAAGCTGCTAACACAGATTGCTTGATGGATTATCTTTGTATGAGTTCAAATGGAATGTTTTGAAGTAGTTTGATTATTGTGCATGAATACATGTACTCCATGCTACTATTCAAAGGCATAAACCTGGCACGGCTCCATTCTCGGGCCACTGCTCTTTCTAATTTACCCTTCAATGCTGCAGACAAAATAATACACTTTTTACACACACAAGTCTCATTTTACACAACAATATAGGGGTACTTACTGTATATCTAAAGCCTTAGAGAAGCTGTTGCACGAACAAACTGCAGAAAATCTGTAGCACTCAACATGCCTCTGTGTTCTGTGAAGATGTAGTTTTAGATTAATCAATGTATTTTGTATTATCTCTTTTATTTTACTCTTGTGTACCATATGGAGTCACACTTGAGTCTAACAAAAGATTAATGAATTAATAAAATTCAGTTCATGTTCAACAATGCTTAGTTTGGAATTATCACAGAATCTTTTAATGGCAGATGCGTGTAACGCACACTGAAAGATATGCTACACTGAAAGCTTGTACAGTGTACTGGGTAGTAGTTTGACATTCTTTCAGTCACCTTGGTGTGTATGTGTGTGTGAGAGAGAGAGAGACAGAGACAGAGAGTGGGAGAGAGAGAGCAGCTAGCTTCCTGCCCTGTCCTTCAACTCCAGTTAGCGGATTGATCTAACAATGGGAATTAAATCAGTGAATGCCACTGAAGTGCTAGATGCATCAGTTTTATTTTTGTTTCCACCGTTTTCTTTGTCACAAACTATTTGCAATTTGAGCTCAAATGTTCATTAACATCCATTACCAGTAATTACGCTACTCATTAAGTACAGAGGCAGAGGGACCCATTAGAAGTGATGGTTTTGACCCTGACTCAAAGTCCCATTATGAGGTCCTGAGAGCACCCTTTGTTTACGCATGACGCATAGCAGAGTCAATATGTAACCATGAGTAGAGAAGAAAAAAACCCTGCGCTTTCTTAACTTTTTTTGGCATGAATTAAATATGACATTTAAAACCAGATAAATGGGATAAAAACATGCACGCCTTTAAACCCATCTGTTGTTTTCCTCTCTATGCTGAATTCACACCACCTGTCAAAGGTTTCTAAATGCCATTTTGACATTACATTATTTCAGGTTAATTTTCAAAGTCAGCAAATATAAGAACGCAACATGGCCAACATCTGGATCCCATAGACGCCATAGTAGACAATGTACATGTTTTTCTTGCTTGTTACTGTGCTTTATGGTAACACAAACCAATAGGCTTAACAAGCTGACCTTTTCATGACAGGCCCACCTGCCTATGAAGCACTAATTAAGAATCATATTAACATCTGAGATTTTGCCAACAGTTCCTCAGATATAGGCACAGATGCAAAGTAAAAGCAAGGGGGAGCTGCTGAAGTTAGTGGGGGGCAGTAGTGGTTACAATTACACTTTGCAGATAGGCGATGGTAATTGGCTAATTGGCAATCAATTAATGCAATAAACTATAGGCAAGTGGCACAGCAACAGTAAAACATAATAATAGGCTACAATAGGAAATTGACTTGATTATCAGCGAAGGAAATAACTAAGTGCATTTACTTTAGTAATATAACAAAGTTAAAGTTAATTTTTATGTATGCTTACTTTACTTAAATATTTCAATTTTATGCTGCAATACCTAATTTAACTACCTAATATTGTAAGACGACAATATTTTAGTCATCTACATGTATTTGACATAGTTAATAGTTATTTGTAGATTAAGCTTTTAAAAATATGATGAACCTTTATAAAATCAGCTTGACCACCTGCTGCAGCATTGCAAATGCTCCATAGATGTTAATATGTCAGTAATAATGTTCCAACAGTATATTAAATATATAACATTAAATAGGGCCATTCTGTATGAGTACTTCTACTGTTGAGGCTTAGTCATGTGTGGCTGTAATGAAAATATAGGTAATAAAAGTCACAGACATTTCTCAGCTCCCTGGTAAATTCTAATTTCGTGGTATTTAGTTCTGCAGTGAGATTAATCTGAAAATGTCCTAATAGGCTGCTCAGGAGCGTTGGACTGTGTATCTTCACAAATATTTAAATGCAGAGCAAACAGTCTTCCCATTCCCCTGCTTTAATTGATATGCAGCCTCTGTACCTGAGGACAATGAAGTCTACTTTAGTGAAGGCTGCGGAGAGTCACTCAGTGACCAGGAGAGGGCATCTCAAGTCCTGAAACGAGCGCCAGTGAGCTCAGTCAGATCCTACCCCAACATCATTCCTGTTGCTATACAACTGATTTATTCTTGATGCCACGGTCATCGGGTTTAATCCACAGCAGACTGCGCCTTTTTCCTCCCACTGTCCACATCTGAATTGAGATACATCCAACTTGTCGGGTTCGGACCTCAGTTTATTCCTCTCAAATTTCTTCACTTGGTGGGTTTCCTGTCTCTTTTCTGCCACTACTTCACCTAGACTCAACAATTGGCGACTCGGCTGTTACACTGTAGCTTATTTTACAGCCTCCTAAAACGCGCTAAACAATGTCGTTCTTGTGAGGACACAAGCTTGAGTGCGTCCATCCAAGGGCTTTGTGAGGTGGCGGTCAGAAATATGCATTATCAAGCTCATGTTGTGCGGTAACGTGGGAAACTACTGGCAGAGGCTGATGCACACCTTCTGGAGCCACTCTCATCTCCGACAGGTGTGCGGCGGCTGTGCGCAAAGCGGATCTGGCTGCGGCGCAAAGTGCGTGTGTTTTCCGTGCAGACAGGCGTCCTGGGTGCTTGTCCAACTATCTGGACAAAACGCCGAGTGCGTCTAACATGTGGACGTGGAACGGCTGCAACAGAGAGCCCTGAAACATGAGGAGGAGCCGACACCGCGCAAATATGGGTATGTAGACTGTTCTGCGAGGTACTTAAAGCCTTCCTTTCTGCGCAAAGTCTTTAATCGTTTGCCAATTACAATTCACTTAAAGCTAATGTTCCTGGTGTCTTTGCCCCCCTTCGGTGTATGAATGATGACTGCAGGCTGTGGGATCTGAAGGAGCCTTTCCTCTCAACAACTATTTGACAGATAATTCCTGATGCATGTGGTTCTCAATCACCTTTTCCATGTCTCAAGAACATGACTTTGACTGGGATAATGGATGTAAGTGTGGGTGTGTGTGTGTGTGTGTGTGTGTGTGTGTGTGTGTAGATTTGCCAGGGATGCAAATGAAGACGGCTGCAAATAACCCACTCTGTTATCAAATGCCTGAGAACACAGTATGGGTGATAATGTTTTTTTCCTTAATTAATTTCTATTTTATTCAGCTGTGCCTCATTCCGGTCTGTGCTTATTGGTTCTGTTTGCTCCATGTTTAATGCTCTGAGATCTGTCACTTTTCTGTGTGTCTGCAGGACTTCCAGTGCTTTTCAGATGGCTTGTATTCACAGTGGTGGTGCCCGCCTGGTTGCTTGCTGCTCCAAGCCCCATCCGTGAGCGTCCCTGCCCCCAGAGCTGTAGATGTGATGGGAAAATAATATACTGTGAATCCAATGCCTTCCGTGACGTGCCAAACAATGTGTCTGTAGGCACACAGGGCCTGTCCCTGCGTTACAACAGCCTGGTGAACCTCAGAGCCCACCAGTTTGCAGGGCTGAGTCAACTAGTTTGGCTCTATCTCGACCATAATTACATCAACGCTGTGGATGGCCAAGCTTTCCATGGGATACGGAGGCTGAAAGAACTGATTCTCAGCTCGAATAAGATCACACAGCTAAAAAACAACACTTTCCACGACGTTCCGAATTTACGCAATCTCGACCTTTCCTACAATAAACTGCAGGTTCTCCAGCCTAACCAGTTCGTGGGTCTACGGAAACTGTTGAGTTTGCACTTGAGGTCAAATTCCTTAAAAACTGTCCCGATGCGAGTTTTCCTTGATTGTCGCAACCTGGAGTTTCTTGATATTGGCTACAACAGGCTACGGAGCCTCACACGTAATGCTTTTGCAGGACTCCTTAAGCTCATCGAGCTTCATTTGGAGCACAACCAGTTCTCAAAGATAAATTTTGCTCATTTCCCCCGCCTGACTAACCTGAGGGCGCTCTATTTACAGTGGAACCGTATCAAACTGCTAACCCAGGGCCTGCCATGGATGTGGACTTCCTTGCAAAAGCTGGATGTTTCAGGAAATGAACTCCAAGTGCTGGACCCGAGTACATTTCAATGCCTCCCAAATCTCCAGACACTTAATCTGGACTCCAACAAACTCAGCAATGTGTCTCAGCAGACGGTGGAGGCTTGGATCTCGCTCACCACCATCAGTCTGGCTGGTAATTTGTGGTACTGTAACCCCAACATATGTCCCCTGGTGGCCTGGCTCAAGGCCTTCAAGGGTAACAAGGAGTCCACTATGATTTGTGCTGGCCCTAAGGAGGCGCAGGGAGAGAAAGTGACAGATGTGGTGGAGACGTATAACATTTGTACAGCAACGCCGGCTCCCATCCCCTCAACAACATCGCCCTTCACTCCAGCATTTCAGCCCAAGCTGCTGCCTCTCCCGACACAGTCTGTGGTGGATAAGAAGCTGATCTGGAACATGACAGCGTCCCCGACTCCTTCCGAGGCCTCCCCCACCATCCCCTTGCCAGAGTATGTGTCCTTCCACAAGATCATAGCTGGTAGCGTGGCCCTCCTCTTATCTGTGGCTATAATTCTACTGGTTATCTATGTCTCATGGAAGCGCTATCCCAGCAGTATCAAGCAGCTTCAGCAGCGCTCGGCGGTTAAAAAGCGCCAGAAAAAGGCACGGGAGACTGAGCGCTCCCTTAACTCACCGCTGCAAGAGTACTATGTGGACTACAAGCCTTCACACTCAGAGACTATGGATGTGCTGGTTAATGGGACAGGACCTTACACATACACCATCTCAGGCTCCAGGGAATGCGAGGTATGACCGTTGCCCTCCAAAAATCCATTTCCACTGCGAGGCATGAGAGGTAAATTTTCTAACAATCTGCGGAGAAAACTACTGTTTTTTCTCCTCTGCTCTGCTCTTGTCTGTTTTTTTTTTTTTTTCGGGATAAGGAAGTAAAGGTCGGTGCATGGTGACTTGTTTTGCAATATGCTGGGTTTGTTCAGTTCCATATGATTACCCAGCTGTTGTTCTGAATCATGCAGTTTTATTGCTAAAATATGATTCCCATTAGTTGAAACTGCAGTGGCAGCTCCTCTCCCTGCATAACTTACATACAGCAAGATGCATTATACACAGAGTAGGTTCATCTTTCATTCCTGACACAAAAGAGCCCATTGATGAATCTATGTATTATCAGCCAGCCTGTTATTTATTTATTCACAAATGGCTCGCAGTCCTGAACGAAGTAATAAAAATTTATTAGATCAAGTCACTGTGCAGGTGGTCCTCTCCTATCCTGTGTGTTTGCTACAACAGCTGTAGTAGCAAATACACAAGCCATTTGAGTTTTGATTGATTTTTCCCTGTATTTAATATATGAATATTTACAATCACACCTGCTGCTCATATAGCCCATTCTGTTTTTCTGCCTCTAGCAGTCATGTACTTAAGATTTTACTCTTTAGTTTAATTTACAAAGTTCAAACAGTCACCGCAGGCTGGAGAACACTCAAAAAGCCCGAAGCCAAATAGAGGATAAATTATGCATTTGGGCCTGATTTCTGTCTGGCTTTTGTGTACTACTGCAGAAGCAAACTGCATTATACTACTTTTGTTTAATCTCAGAAACATAAAGAAACTATTCGGCTATACAAGTGAAACTTTTTGTCCAAAGAGTTCAAATTGAAATTCTCATCCTAACGCTGGACTCCCCCACATGACTGACTCTGAACCACTGTGCGGCACAGAGGGATTGAGACAGAAAGACTAATCAATTTGCTCATGCTTAATTAGGCACTTTTTGCCTGTGTACTCTTTTTTTCCCCTAATGCCATGCATCTGTCTTCCTTTGTCCGGCAGCTTTTTTTTTTCATTTGGAGGTATGGTTAAGTGTGATTAACAGGACATGTTGTGTTGGGAAGGATGTAGTGTCACTGGAATCTTAGCTGCACCTTTTGTCAGGCTAAGCAGACATGCTGTGGGCTGCAGGAGACATCTTTCTTCTCCGTTATATCCGTCAGCGCAGCTCAGAGACGAAGTTTTATCTCACACTGCCACGCAGTTCATTTCCTATATTCCACGTGGAAGCTATAAATCATTTTGGAATATGTTTTAAGTCGTAGGATTGTACTGTAGCACCACTTACATTCTTCTTGTGTCCTTTTCCGAAGTCACTGGGGAGCATAGCACAAATATGTTCCATTGTTTTCAGTAATGTCACATACCACGAGGTACACAGGTTGCTAAATCAGCTCTTTGTCAGATTATCTGTGGCAGAGCATTTCTCAAACACAAGGGAAGCTTGAGGTGAGATGGCCGGCTTATCAATCTTGTAGCTTTCATGTGAGAATGTGGCGTGGGAGCATTAAATGGCAGACCTAATGGGGCTTCTGCTAGCTAGAATAACTAATAGCCCATCAGAGGTAAGGAGCCGAGACTTCCCTCTGCTTTGTTATTCCTTGCCCTCTACAGCTCAAGGGAGCAGCCTGAGTTGTTAAAAATGTAATGGGATTTTTTTTGCCGTGTGTGTGTAGGTGTGTTGTGTGTGTGCGTTTGGGCCAAACACTGCAATGCAAAGCAAGAATACACAGTACAACAGGGGAGTTTTAAAACCACCATCACCTTTTTATGCATGTTAAGGTTGGGGTGCACTTTCAAGCGGTTTCAAACTGTTTCCCATCCAGTACAGTCTCATTTTTACTAGCCCCGCACCAGAATTCAGTATAGGTTGTAGTTCAAGAAGGCCATGATGTGCAAGTGATAGTGTTGAGGTCTATTTGCATCACAATAAAGGAAATGCGGCACAACATCTTCTGACATATGAGAGGGTTTTCCTGTTTTATTGAATGGCTCACAGTGGAGAGAGTCAAGGAAGATGAAAGTGAGAGAGAGGGTTCAAACTCACAGTCAGAGGCATACTGTAAATGCCCGAACCCAGTGAGCCCCCAGCACATTTTAGCTACCCCAGATAGCAAGCACTTAAGCTATTAGCTGCATTTTCAATTAGGAGAAAGAGCTTTGTAATTGAAGCCTGTTATCTTCTGCACATGCTCAGACCAACAGACTTGGAGTTAATTTGTTTCTATAGATTTCCCCCAGCACAGCTCAGCAGGTTGACTTCGACACTGCAAACCGAGCTCGCCGAGTGTGAATTCTGATGAACACTTTGAACTGTGCAGTTCCACGGTCTTCCTGTGACACATTATTTAAATAAATAAAAAATAAAAACCTCTCTCTGTCTTGTATGCCATCCACTTCTTTGCTCACAGAGCAGCTGCAGTGGTTGCTGTCCACCCACAGATCATCCCCTGCGAAGTTAGCTCAGAAAATATTAAGGTGAAAATCCCACCGTCTCAGCCAAAGGCGATTCTTGTGCTTGGGTAGAATTTTCAAGCATTAACAAGGTGAGGGGATCCTGCTCACGGATAATTAAAGTGGGCTGTGAGAGGGCAGATGAAGGGAGGAGAAAGGAAGGTTTGGAGCTGCTGGTGCATCTAACTGACTGTTAAAAATGCCTGTAAGATTAGACTAATAATTACAATTTTCAACTTTACTAATTTTCAAAGCTGACATGGTCAGAAACACTGTAATGTCAACACCAGCGAGCAGCCCAGTTTTTGAAATAACAATTTAGACCAACACAAGCTTTAATCATGCATTACGTTGTTTTCATTTTTCTCTGCATTTGCACTCAGAAATGTGGCACCCTGTGTCCCCCTCCTGGTTATATTAAAAACTAATGGCCTCTATGGATCTAATTAGTGTTTGCCTAGGACAAATCCTGCAGCTGTGGGTACATTTTATTCAACAAATATTTGTTTTAATTTTTAGGCGCTAGAGTATGAGCCCTGTCTTTAAAATGTCAGCAATAAGAGACAAAGTTGATGAGTGATCAAAATACACTGCCTCTGCTTGGCGAGATGGCAGCTTGCACTTCATCTGTGCGTAAATGCACAGAAGGCAGGTTTCCATCATGTGGAGGGAGTTTGACAGCTCTCAGTATTTGTCATTCATTTGCTAAATAAAGGATAGCCACATGAGCGCCTGATAGCGTCTCAAAAGGATGTGTCATTTTTGAATGCATTAGTTTGTTAGCTGTGTGCTGTGGCGCAGCACACACTGCTGTAACTTAAACACATTTTAATGACAGCACTGCACAACACACTACTGTAATAAGAAGTAACACATACACTGTATGACAAATGACTCATCATTTTTGTTTTTTTGGTTATTCCTTAGAAAAGCTATATCTTTTGCCATTAATTCTCATTTTGCTTGGTCGTCCTCTTGTTTGGTGAAATTGAAAATTACTGTAACTGCGAGACTGGATGGCAATGATCCATGGGTCCACAGAAGTAGACTACTTAGCTTTTATCATACCTGATGATTTTGTGAAAAATGGGCTTTGGTCAACTTGTTTCAAACCAACTAAAGCAAAATGCAGGAAGAAACAGCCTTTTAAGTGAATTGGCTGAAATGGCTGTTACACAACATCATTATTTTAGTGTCATGCTTCACATTTTGTAGCCTAAGTGGTGGCACTGAAAAAGCCCCCTGTAATAGATTTCTGTGTATGATCAAGCACACCAGACTGATTCAAGGTGCTTTGATATGCTGGGGATATGTATATAATTATGGAAATTTTACTTTTTTCAGTTTGAAATTCATATTTTTATGGCAGACGAGCCAAATAAATTACTCTTTACAGCAACAGGCTCAGTGTTGTAATTCATATTTAAACTGTTTAAAGGAATAGTTGGACATTTAAGGAAATACACTTATTTGCTTTCTTTCTGAGGTTGGTACCATTTTCATGTATACAGTAAATGTGTAGTTACAGGGAGCAGCTAGTTAGCTTAGCTCAGAACAAAGACTGTAAACAGGGGGAAACAGTTAGCATTGCGCCTCTAAAGCTCACTAACATGTTTGATCTCATTTAAATCAATACAACAGTGACGTGTCATGATGTTACACAGTGTTATGTCCCAAACTATTCTGGATGCCTGGTAGCCTTACAAGTATTATAAGGAAGGACGCATCATCCGTTTCCAATCTTTATTTTAAGCTAAGCTAACTGGTTGCTGCTAGTAGCCTCATATTTAACTCTAACTCTAACTCAGCAAGAAAACAAAAAAGTGTATTTCACAAAATGTTAAACCATTTCTTGAGTTGAACAATTGATAATTTGCTATCAGCTGTATTCATTCAGCATCAACGTACTCAGTAGAGGACTACTTTATACTGAATATGCCATGACATTGAAGACCCCCCTCCAATCCAGTCAGCATAGTTCAAGCGGAGGTGGTGGGCAGGGCACAAGGCCTGATCTAGAATTTCTCAAGGCTTTCTTTTCTTGGTTTACGGGTGTTTGCCCATTTTTTAAGCGGATCACTTCAAGTTCTGAGACATTCTCTGGCTGTCTTGCACACACGGCATGTTTAAGATCTAGCTACAGATTTTCAATGATGTTTAGGTCAGGGGACTGTGCAGGCCGTTCCAAAAAGCTCATCTTTAATGTCTGTTTGCTGCAGCTGTTGGATTTATCTTTTTTTCACTTGAGAAGTCAACAGAACATGGAATTTGCCGATGGGTGTTCAGACTTTTACATACCACTGTGACAGACTTTATACAGACTTTATTCATTCCAGTCAGTGCTGTGATTTCATGCTGAGTTAAAACATTGCAGTGGGATTCATTAGCACAAATGCACATAATCACACCTCGGACCAATCGTTGGTGTTAAGCACCTCTCAGACTGCTGTGTGTGTGGGGTGAGATCTCCCCCAAATAAACACACTCGGCGATATGTATGA